AAATAAAATAAAATAATAAAAAAATTTCTGCATAAAAAGGATAGCATGTTCAAATAAAAAAAATGTATCACGGCGATTACTGAATAAAAATCGTTTGGTTGATAAACCACAGTAAAGATGATAAAAAGATAATTATAATTGATAAAATAATTACGATCACTAAAGATCATGAATGGTTTATCTAATCCAAATTACAATCAAAAAAAAAATCTCTCTAAAAACCGAATTATAAAAATTTTCCAGGAACAGTCATTCAAAAAGAATAACAACTGCATCAGAATTAAAGAAAAGTATAAAAAAACGAGATCTTACAGTCGTCCTACGCATATATAATCCCTTATCAATCAGTAAAGAAATGAAAAGTCAACAAATAAAATAACTCTGGAAATGAATTTAGCCTACTAATGAGAATGCATTATAAGCCGATGCAATCTAAATAAAATTAGAAATAATCATGCGAAAAAAATTTACAGAAAAAATTTAGAATTTCTCACTCAAAAATCCTTTATTTTTAGATAATTTTTTTTATACTTTTACCTCCACTAATCGAATTTTATTTTAAACCAGACAAAGAAGCGGATATAATTAGCTTTAGAGGACGAAGTTAAACAAAAGAAAAAAAGTTCAAAAGATTAACCAACCACACTAAACAGGCATAATTAATACCACTGAAACCAGAAATATAATATTAGAAACGATAGAATTCATAAAATGCACATACTGTGCAGTATATCAACTAATTCGAATAATTGCTTCTAAAACCCACACCTCGCCGATTATTAGCATTATGATGATAGCCATAACCGAATCCACCATTACCACCACCACGATGCTGTATGTTAGCATTGTAATTATTATGCCCTGAAAAATAATAAAATTAAATTAAATCATAAATGCTACACATAAAAGATCACATATAAACTAAATACACAAATATCAAAATACTGAATTGTTGAAAGTTTCAAAGGGAAGCAGTTACCAGATTTTAAAGTAAATGTTAATGAGAAAAATGGACAAAAATTCAGTCGTTCATCTACTTAAAAAGAAGCCATCTACTTAAAAGGGGAAGAAATTTTAAAGACCTAGGCGATAATTTGCATTTCCACCTCTACCGCTTCTACCACCATAATATGATCGAGACCTGCGATAATTCAAAGAACGGACAGCTGAATGTCCGAATGTCTCCTGATTAGTTTCACGTTCTTTACGCCAATCGGCGCGACTTTTCCTAAATTTTTTTTAATTTGAGAAGTAAATAAAATCCAATTTTTTTAATAAAATTAATTTGTTAACCGAAAGCGTATCTAAAAATGTGAAATCAAAAAAAAAAATAAAGAAATCTGAATAAAAATTTAATTTATTGCTTACACTTTTCTGTTCGACATATCAGGAAAATTTAATATCCGAATAAGAAAATATAAACCAATAAAAAATATTAAAATTTAAAAAAAAGAAAAAAATTTGTATGCATTAAAAATAATGAAGATACACTCACGGATCCTTCGTTTCCAAGGCTTCACAAGATATTCTGTCAAAAAATGAAGTATTTTTATCATAATAACCTCCCTCCTTTTCAGTTTCAACTTTTTCATCCATACCTGTCTTAAAAGATCCCATGGCATCCATCTTCATCGCTCTATCATCAGATGTTGCTAAAAATTTCTTTATTTCTATGCTATATATATTCATAAATTTCATAAATTAAATTTCGAATCAATTTTCCATCTGATACTATTGCAAATTTTTAAAAGTGGACAGTTTTTAAATATATATATTAAAAATATATTAAAAAATATTTTACGCACTTAAATAAGAAAAACAAAAAAAAGAATTGAAACAGGATCTAAAATATTAAACTCTAATTAGAAAAATTTTTCGAAATTTTTCAAATATTAGCTCAATATTTTTATTTACTAAAGTTTGAATTAAGGAAACGAACAATCTAGCTTCGTATTTTTTAGATCCTTTGTAATATCATTTAATGTTTCCTCGAATAATTCATTCGCCTTTTCAAAATCGTAATCGCTTTCGAACCGCATTCTATCTTTTGAAGAATGGTTTCTAACTCCAATGGCTCCACGATGCATATTTCGCTGTAAATTGTTGCCAGCATCCCGCTGGCTATAACCCCCGCGTTGAACAGTGCGGTAATTTTGCTTATGCTGGTATGTATTCTGCTGCGTATTGTTATTTTTATATCCCATTCCTTGCTGATCTTAAAAAAAAATCAAGTTTTCCATCTAACTGGAAAAAAAAGAAAATGTTAATGTGAAATATGCTCTGTACATCAGAATATTAATATCGAAATATTAAAAAATGCAGTTAGTACTCGAATATATAATACAGCGACAAAAACATTCGAGAAACATAGAACAAAATATAAAAACCAATAAGAACCAAGTGCAAAATTGCTAAGGAAAAACAAACTGTTGTGTCGTTGTTCCGGAGCACGTTGAAAACGCATTGCACCTCGGTGTAACGTACCAGGTGTTTTTGCCAACACAGAATTTATATTTTCCACAGCATTTAAACCTGGTGACACAGAGTGAGATGCTAAAGAATAAAAAATGAGGTTCTAAACATGATAATATAAACAGAAAATTGTTCTATCTTGCATTATGCAATTAATGTTTTCTTCTTCCCTTTTTGTTCGTCAATTTTAGTGGTAGAAAAATAATACCTTCGTGAAATATTTTAAAAATGCTGAAAAATTCGGACATAAAAAAAACGGCCGCAAGAAATTCAATGCTCAATTCAATTTCACATTCTCAATTCTCAATTTCACATTTAGAAAAATATTTGAAAAAAACTAACAGCTAGCACTTATAGCATTAGGGGCCACATTTTGATTTTGAGAAGTATGCGATTCCGAAACAGTTAAAATAGCAGGATCATATGCAAGTCCGCCACATAACCGAGGTACAGGTTTTGGAGTTTCACAAACAATTAAATCCTTGATATCGGATGCTTTGAAAATAATATATTCATAGACTTCGTCACGAGCCGGCACTGGATTAGGCGTGGGACGATCTTCTGTCCCAAAGGAACGCACTAAATTAATAGTTATTAAAAATTTATCACAAAATCTAATCAGGAAGTGGAAAACATCAGACAATCACAATCTAACGGCAAAATAAAAACCAAAACATATTGATAATGATAGAAATCAGATTTTTCACAAAACATATGAAAATATGCTAAAAGATATACCATAAAAGATGGATGACTTTTGCAAGAAAGACGCTATGTTCAAATAAAATTATCTTCAAGGCGTATAAATATTGCGCATAACTGATTATAACTATACAACATTCAAAAAATTTTACTAACAGTATGAACAAATTATGAACAAATTAAAAAAAATATAAGTCAAAAATTATGGGAGAGAAATTGATAAATGATTAATTATAAAGCTTGAAGAAAAATGTAACCTTACAAAACATGCAAATACCATACAAATAAAATAGATTCTACAAAAGAGAAACAAACCTTTAGCGAGGGCAATAGTCGATTCAGTTGTATCAACCGTATAAAGAATACCTTCGTATCTTATATCAAGTTTTGAAATTAAACTGATTTTACTCCCAATATATGGAGTCGAATTTGACATTTCCACAAGTTTACTATTTATTAATTTCTATAAATATACAACGAAAATCAACTCTAAAAATTAAAATTTACTTATAAGATAAACCGATAAAGGAATAAACAGGAATTGAAATCTTTTTCGTTAAGGAATAATTTACTGGATTGGTTGTAAATTGAATGTGAGAACATGGGCAGTATACGTTCGAACTCGACCCAGTAATTTAATAAAATCAACAAGAACTCAAAACAAATAAACCGACAAAAAATAGCGTTGAAATGTACAATGAAATCGTCTTAACATATCATCCCTCTTTACATCCCAATCCTCTACAAATAATCTTCAAATAAAGCAAATATTCAGTTAAACGAGATAAATTCCTTAGATATATACTACTTCCAAGATTCTACGGCGTTTCGGTTCTGCTAATATTTCAAGCAATACATTTCAAAATCCATGAAAAGTTTTACGGCTTATATTTATGACAAATCGGCAATTGCTTTCCGAATTTCGCCCTACTCCAAGCATAAATCAGCTCACTAGAATATCATTCTTATTCGCGTACGAAAGGCCACATCAGCAGAAAAATTTCGCGGTCCCTCTTTCATGTAGCCTCCCAATCCTCTACAAATAATCTTCAAATAAAGCAAATATTCAGTTAAACGAGATAAATTCCTTAGATATATACTACTTCCAAGATTCTACGGCGTTTCGGTTCTGCTAATATTTCAAGCAATACATTTCAAAATCCATGAAAAGTTTTACGGCTTATATTTATGACAAATCGGCAATTGCTTTCCGAATTTCGCCCTACTCCAAGCATAAATCAGCTCACTAGAATATCATTCTTATTCGCGTACGAAAGGCCACATCAGCAGAAAAATTTCGCGGTCCCTCTTTCATGTAGCCTCCGAGAATTTTTACAAGCATTCAAGTTAAATGAAATCGCAAAAAAAACAGTAATATACAAAATCGATAATGAAATATTTAGAAATTTTATAAAAGAAAAAACTGCATTTAAAAAATTGTATTTCTCTGATGCTAAAAAACAGTAGCCAGCAATACCTAATTTCAACATAAAGTACCAAATTTCGTGGACCTACTACTGTACAGAATAAATCCTACCTCGTCCCCTTTCCTCCCACCTTCAACCAAAATTAACACAAATCAAAACCTAAAACGACTACATCACTTTTTCCAACTGCTCCTCGTTCAGTCCAACTTAATTTCGCTTCAAGAATTACCTCTTTAAATTTTAGAACATTGCAGCGCACTAGCGCACAACCTTCTCACACTCTATTGCAATGATTTTCGCACGATTTAGTTTTTCAATATTTTTTGCTATTAAATAAAAATTATAAAATACAAAGTTTTATTGTTAGAAATTAGCTGAAAGAAAGACACAACGAATCGATAATCTAGAAAAAAAAATTTTCTTCCATTACAAAATTGTAAAATTTAAAAGCGAAAAATTACAAAAAAAAAAAGAATATTTAATAAATATTTTACTATTTAATAAAAAAAAGAATATTTAATAAATAAAAATAATTTCTTTAAAATTTTTCATTAATTATTTTCTACAAAAAAAAAAAAATGAAATGACTTAGAAAAATAAAAGCATATAAATTAAAGGCGTAAAAGGCACTAAGCGATTAATTTTTGCCGAAAAATATGAAGAAAGCAATAATAATAATAATAATAATAATAATAATAATAATAATAATAATAATAATAGTAATAATAATAATAATAATAATAATAATAATAATAATAATAATAATAATAATAATAACGTAAAGCCAAAGCCTAAATTTTCTAAGCTTAAAACTATAAATTTCTAAAATTTTTATCGAAAATATAATAAAATAATTATGCCAATTAATTTAACTAATCAATTAGTTGCTTTTATTTTTTTTTCAAAAAAAAAAAATTCAACACATTCAATACATATAAAAAATCAATACAGAAAAACAAAAAAAAAAAGAAGAAAAATCTATACAAAATTAAAAATTTAATAAAAAAAAAAATTTGTCGAAGAGATGAGAACTTTTTTAACATTAAATTTCAAAAAATATTTGAATATTTATATTTTATAAATTTATAATTATTTATCGTTTACACTACTAATTAAAATTGTAATAATAATAATAATAATAATTGTAATAATAATAATAATAATAACCCATAAATTATCGGAATGATGCTTTTGCAGTAATATTTCATTTATATATTTTATGCATAAGTGGCAACTGGCAAAAAATTTCTCATGGCACTAACAACCAACAATGGCGTACTAAGCCTAGTTAGTACAGAAAAAATGGCTTTTCGTTGACTTTATCAATGATTATTTTTGTGGAAGAATTTCGGTAAAATTACAGTTATAGCGAAAATTTGCGACAATAATACAAATTTTAGTGAATAGCCTTCGGTCATCATTCATATGAGATCAATGGAACATTGTTGTAGAAGAAAAAACGAAGGACGAAAGAAAGACGAATATCGGATGAATCTCTCGACAAATATGAGCAATAATAAGTGATTAAGAAACTAAAAAAAGAAGAAAAAAATGAAATAAATTTTATGCTAAAAAAAAAAATATTACTATTTTCAATCATCCGATAGTGATAACGATAATTATTACAATGATAACGAAATCCTCATTGTTTAATAGTAGGTATAGAGGATTAAAGCAACGATTGCTTATCATGCTTATCACTGTGATTATTTCGAGAATCGGCGAATTAATTAATTAATGTGATTTGAAGATAACTGAATTAGCTGGAAAAATATTCATATGAAATTCTTGACAGCGTTGTAATTCTTCTCGAGTAGCCGTTCGATCAAATTTTTCATGAACATTCGACCAATGATTTGAAAATTCAAGCACACTATATGTTTTATATGAACATATATTACATTTGATTTCTTGACAAGATTCTTTTATTAAATGATTTCCTTCCAAAAGATCATTTATATTTTTCACCTAAAAAATAATTAAATAAAATATTTTATCAACCTATTTGGAAGTACCAAAGGACAAGCGAATTGTTAATATCCTAGATTACCGCACTAATAGGCAAAATTTCGACTTCTGCCACTCGCTTGAGTAAATCATTTAAAAATACTGGCGATTTACCTATATTATAAGAAGAATATTTAGTAATTTCGGGAATATTCATTACTCTCAAATCAAATCAAAAGTATTTCATTGGAACTGAGTTAGAACTGAGAATTTAGCGTAAAAGTAAGTAAAAGTAATAAATAAATAAGTAAGAGAACGATATTTACCCTTGAAATTTCTGGTCGAAAAACAGCATCCTTAAGAAAATGCATTAATGATTCCTTATGATGATGATTTTCTTCATGAAATCTCACTCTAACTGCTGTATTATCCGAATAATTACATAAGTGACAAGTATAAATGCCATTTCGTCCGTGCATTTCATAATGCAAATTGAATATCGTTATTGTATCACAATAAAAGGAACAAATCGAGCAACAATACTGAAATTATTAATTATAAATAATAAATTATAAAGCTAAAAATAAAAAATAAACGAACAAAAACTGATTATCATATCATAAATTGATTATCATAAAATATCATAAATTTAATAAAAATACCATAAATTTACAATAAATGCCATAAATTTAAATATTTCCTGCGGCTCCATTCTTCAATTTTAACCTAATTTCAATATGATCGTCAAAAATTTTATAAATTTCATATTATATGAAATATAAATTGAGGTAATGGAATTGGCAACGATTTTAGATTGCAATTCCATATTTTATAACTATAATTTAAAATTCCGATTTTCTAGCTATGACAGGAGGAAATCTGCCATTAAAAAATCCAGGTGAAGTTGGCGATTCATTTATATTTCAATTGGCGAGGCATAAAAAAACACTAGTCCGCAGAGTGTAGCTCAGTACCTAAACCCGAAATAGAAAGAAAGATAACGAAATAAAGATAATAAAATGATAATAAATAAATAGTAAGAGATAATAAAGTGATAAGTGATAATAATGAATAGATAATAGATAATAAAATAATAAATAGATAATAAAATAACGGGCGCTAGTAGTTAGCGACCACCTATTTTAGCATATGTTCGCCATAATCGAAAAATTTTCGCAAACCTTTTTGGAATAAGGATCAGCCTTCCTCTTATATTTTCGTTGAGTTCCATCAACTGTCAACGGCTCCCGTTTTATTTTTGTCATAAGTCTCCTCTGAATCGCCTACAAATAAATATTATTTTTAAAATTTAAAATTATTAATTATTTATTATTATTTATTATTATTATTAAAAATTATTTAAGAATAAAATTCTAAGGATCTCAACTTGTTAGCAATAAAATATTTTCCAGGCTTTCTTTTTTTAAGGGCAATTCTCTTTTTTTTTCATTTCCTCTTTTAAACTAATCATTTATAAAGTCGAGTAGCATTTTGCTTATTGCTTCGCTACATTTAAATTATAGGTTCGTTTCCTTTCTCTCGATGGGACGAATATAAAAGTGAAATCCAAGAGATTCTACGAATTCACTTGTAGTTCCACCTTAAGCCCTCTAAAGAAGTCTAAAGTTATTGGACGAAGCAAAAGTCAAAAGAACTGATAGAAAAGAAATCAAACACGGTTTATAATCAAAAGAAAGGGGATTATCGTTAAAAATGAAATCTCACAGAGCATTTCAAGTCGAACTTACCGATGAATGTTTATACTGATGTATATAAAAAAGTTTACGATCAGCTGTTCGAAATGAGCAAATTTTACATTGCAATTCTTCATTAACACTATTATCATTTGTGATAAAATATCGCATAAATGATTGAATGGGATCCATTTTTATATCCGATGATGTTGGATGTCGCTGTCTAAATAATTTAAATAAATGAATTAAGCAAATTAAAATTTTCAAATTCAAGATATAAAAAAAACAGTATTTTTCTCACCGTTCATTATCAGCTGAACATAGTTTCCCAAAAGCAAAACCATAATCCATAAAATGTAAAGTGAGATGATCATAAAGATTTACAGGCATATTACAGCTAAATGTACAAATATGACACGAAAAATGTCGATTTTGACCATCGTGTAAGGATTTGTGAATTTCGTATATTTTTTCGCAATCCGTAGAGAAAGGACAATGAACGCATTCGTATTCTGAAATATCGTCATACGTATCGTTATCACTATAAGAAAATTTCAAAAAAAAAACGTAAAATATGTTTATGTTTTAGATTTAAATAATATAAGAAATATTTTATCGTTAACAATCTGATAATTATCAATTTGCTAGCACATAGGCCAGCGATATATGCGCTTATAGTGTGGAAAAAGATGTTATGAAGTAAACCAAGAGTTCAGGAAAGCAGCTTATCTTATTAATCACTAAACACAAAAAAATTACCAATGTCCGTGGGATTTTATTCATAGTGAAAATAAAGAAGTGGAAATTCAGCAGTGGAAATTCCCAATTTAGGCTAATTTTATTGACCCCCGTATAATTTGGCAAAATGAAGACTGAATGAACATATACAAATCCGTATTAATGTTTTATAATTACCTTCCTTTGTTGAAAAAAGAAATGGCCGAGGCGGTGGAGGCAATAAAAAAGTGGGTTGATGATAATCTAATCTGGATTTAGGTCTTTCGCCGAGTACGTCATCATCACCATCATCAGCGCCATCAACGGATTCAGTAAACGGCAAATTTTGAGAAGTATTTTCGTCAATTTGTGCTTCGTCTTTTTTCGCAACGATTTGATGATTACTAAAGATTCCAGAAGAATGAATTATTAATAAAATTTCACCGAATATTTTGTAAATTAAAAAAATAACAATGAACAAACCACGCTGATTGCATATTCTCATATTTATCATTACTAGTCGAAGGATCAGTTGCATGAAGAGCTTTATGTTCTTCAAGACGATATGCTGATCCCACACTAAATGTACATTGCTCACAGATATATCGGGAACGTTTTTGGTGCTTTTTATTATGGCGATAACTTTTAGCATATGTATTACATTTATAAGGACATAACCTGAAATTGCACTTAAAGAAGGATGAACCATGTGCCATTTCAGCAAAATCTTCACATGACAATAATAAAAAGGATACCATAACAATTTCAATAATCTCAATACTTACGAGCACTGATATTCGCCTGTTGCCAACCGATGTAATCTAGCATATGAGCCTTTTACTTTAGTGCAAATACTTTCTGACTGCGAAGATGAAGAGAAATGTTGCCTGCAAAATTATTAAAGGTTAAAATGTCAAGTTTTTCCTTTCTTAAGGAAAACAATTCTTCATGTTCTGCCTCTTTTCTGCCCCAATAAGAATGAACTGCGACGCATCTATACAGATTGACAAAAATTGTATAACAACCAACCGAGTTGGCTTAACAACCAGAAATGGTAAAACGCTGACCATTTATTTACTTATTAAATATTTTTTAAATGAGAAATATATTTTTATAAAATATATTTAATAAAAAAATAAAAAATGAAAGCACATACCCATAATGCAAAAAGAGAAAACCACGTATAGTTGTTTCGAAAGAGCAAAATGCACAAAGAAATTTTCTAATTTTCTTATTGCAAATTACTTCTTTACCAATGAAATTCGAACGGAATCGTATATTTGCTATAAAATCCTCAGAGGTGTTTTTCCTTCTCTGAATTGTATTCTTATTATTTGATTCCTAGAAAAGAATTATTTGATTCTTATAGGAGAATTTAAAAGTGTATAATTAACTGAACGAGAAATTAAGACTATTATTACGAATGAGCATTCTTTCTGAGAAAGGTTTAAATTCGTAGAGTAAACAATAAGAATAAACAAGTAAGTAATAGGACAGAATCCACCGTTTCTGGTTTCTGGTTAGGTCGTTCTAGTGATTTTCAGTACGATGAAAAAAATTTTGACCGGAAGTCACATAAGGATAGAAATAAAAGGCATCACCCAGATTTTTGAAAAAGATTTATTCCTGTCGAAAATCCGAAAACGGTCGAGTTGATAATTTGAGCAATATCCGCTCGACCTCTTTATCAATAATTGATAAAGGATACCAGTTTCGAAGGTGAATCGAATGAGCTCGTTGCTCCTTTTCCTTCATTCTCGATCTCTACAGATTGCTGCGTTTGGTTTTTATGCAATCGTAAATGTTGTATGAGAATATCCAATGAACGGCAATTAAAAGTGCAATATTCGCACTAAAAATTTCTCTGAATAAATAATTATTATTAAAATCAAAATAAATTACATTTTATGGAAAAGCTCAATTATAACTTATCAATTTTTTTTCTAAACCAATGATCGATTTTCTTTGTAAATAAAATTTTCTAGAAAATAAATCATAAACCTTATGTTCAGCTTGAACAATATGTTTGTTTTCATGTCGAGCTAATCTTGATTTTTTATCAGTCGTATAAGGACAATGACTGCAGCGATGATTACCATTTCTAGGTTTTAACGGTTCACTGATAACGTCTTCTGTGATTTCCCTAAATACAAAAAATTAATGAAAAAAGAATAGTATAAGAATAGAATATGGAAGATTTTCAGATAAGAAAAGATAAGATAAGAATGCCGATTTTATAGATAATTAAAAATTAGTCTATAAAATCAAGTAAACTCAAAATTTTATAAAATTATTTACTCTTTATGTTTTTCAGTTTCAGTTTCATTATGATTAGTGTATTTTTGCCAAACATTCAGCAATGATTGTGATCGTTTGAATTCTTTACGATGAAGTACATAATTTAAATAGTATTGACCGATTGTTGAAAAGCATCGACCATAACGAATATTTATGTATTTTGGATATTTATCACGAAGACGTTTCATAAATTTCTTCTGAAATTTTTAATTTTTAATTAAATTATTAAATAAAATTATTAAAATTAAATAATATTAATATTATTATTAATGTTAAATATTATGAGAAAATTTTGTAATCTTTTTAAATTTTCTAAAATATTTCTTTATATGGCGTAACGAATCAACTTTTCTAGTCCTTAAAAAAATTGCCATAAATTTATCCAAAAAAATCCTATAGAATTCATATCAAATCACTATTTTCACACGGAATCTTAAATTATAGGAAAATAAAAAAAAGAAATACTAAATAATTAAATTCAACCTTTATTCGTTTAATAGTTCTTTGATGAAAATCGTTATTATTCAGCTCATTTCTCAAACGTTTCACAAATTCACTTGGCTCTTTTCGATCTAAAATTAATAATATTAGTCGATTTTTAGGAAAAATTTAGGAAAATTCGTCTCTTTTTTTGGTGCTGTGAAGCATAAGTTTAATGGAAAATTTGAATAATCACTTAAATTAGTGAAAAATAAAAAATAAAAGAGGAAATTTCTCACCCTTTAATCGACTGATAAATAATTTCGGCGATTTTGACTGATAAAAGACTTTTGATTTTTGGATTTTTAACGATTTATTTTTAGAATTTCTAAAATTTGCTTTCTTTTTAAAAATCATAAACCGATGGTAAAGAAAGAATTAATAAATATTTTTTAATATAAATAAATAAATAAGTAAAAAATCAAAAAAAGCTATCAATATGATAAGAGAAATGATAAGAAAAGTCTTACTTAGAAATATTTTTTAAACGTTTACATCCATTCGCTCGATGAATATTTCTCAATTTTGGAATTTGACATTTGACCTTCGTTAAACCTTTATGAAATATTGAATTATTTTTTGAATTAATTATCATTTCGTCTGAAAATATAATTTTCCCATTAAAAATTATTATAAAATTTTAATAAATAATTTTGATAATAATAATAAAATAATTTTTTTAAAAAAACTAAGAAATAAACAAACTATCAATCGTTGCATCTTTTTTCACTTCATTATCATTGTTATCTTTTGATTCGGACAGGTTTAAATTCAACGCTTCTTCTCTTATTGTATTTGACTGCTCCTATAGGAAGGAAAATTTATTATTCAAACGTTAATCGAATCGAGAGATAGGAGGCCGAGTGTTTACTGGTCATATTATCATTAATCATTATGAGAAGATATTTCAGGTTCTATTTAAAGCTATCACTAGAAATTTTGAAGATGCTAAGAATCCATTTATAGTTCCAGTGTAGCCATTTTAACCAGAAATGGTCAGCCATATCTTCAATAAAGAAATCGATCACTTCTCTGAATCAATTTAATCCAATTTTGCTATTATTAGGCCTTTTCCTAATTTGATGGATCGGAAAATGGAGACATAAAGTAAGAGGAATGAATGCAATCAAATGATAATCCTAATCAGTGATAATCTTTTACCTTAATTTAGCGAAAATATAAAAAAATCTCTTTAAAAAAACCGAAAAAAAACGAACTGTTTGATGTGGAGACGAAATTAACGGTTTAACCAATGTCGCTGCATTCGTTGTAATTTCAACAATTGGAGGTACGTGAACGAGTTCGTGAACACGCAATGTCTTTTGGTTCTTACAACTGCAATGAGCATCGTTTTTATTTAAAAAAATAATCTTATAGAAGAGAGATGGAAAAGTAAAGAAGCATGAAGATCTAAGAAGTGAAATTAAAAGCAATAAATATTAGCTAAAAAGAATTTAAAATTATAAAATTATAAACTAACCTGAAATCGCATTCTTTACATACAAATTCCTTATCACTGCCGTGTTGTTTTCGATGATTAGCTAGGCCAGTTCGTGAAGTGTAACTTGCTGGACAACTAGCACAATAGAATTTCTCACCAATCTCTTTACGGTGCTCTTTCTATAAACCATAGATGAAATTAATAATGAATTTAAAAAAAACCACCACCATGCACCAGAAATTTTTTCCTTACTTAACTTTACTTCTTTCTATTTTTATTAAGAATATATAATTTATGGTGAAATGAATTAATTAAAACATTTTTAGCTTAAATCCTCATATTCAAATATTATAAAATAAAAAATGTAAATGGGGCAGGATAGATGGATGCCTTTTGCTCTCGGTATAAATAATCTTGACATTGAAAACATCCGGTTGGTACGGCTCCGATCCAACAGTCAAATGCCTTCCTGGCAAAAATTTCTAATTCCGTGGGGATAGTCACTATAGTAAATCTAACCAGAAATGATGAGTACTTAGCAAATAAAAATAATGAATAAAAATTTAGCAATTATTTTTTACCTTATTAACGCTAATGCAACGTTTGACTTGCGGAGGATCGATTTCTTCATCGGGAATATAATCACCGTGACGTAGTGGTGCTTTCCTTTCACGTTTCTTCGTTAATTTTTCAGAAATTCGATTTTTCTTCACGAAATCCTCTTCTCGATCGGTACCATCCTCTGTTTCAGTACCTTCCTCTTTTTCAATTCCTATCGCTATTTCTCTTTCTTTTTCTGCTTGATTCTCTCCTATTTTTTCACCTGTGACAATTTCGGTACCACAGATTTCTTTTTCATCCTTAACCCATTCGAATTCTGCCTCAATTCTATCTTTATCAATTTTATCTTTAACTGTAATCGCTAATTCTTCATTCGATATTTCTTCTTCAGGAGATTTTTCAATATTTTCATCCTTAATTTCATCTAATCTACCATTCTGCAAATGTACCATACCGATTTTACCATTAATTGCGAATTTTCTCTTCAGTTTTATTTTGCCTATACGCTTTACAATTGAATCTGATTTTAAAGCCTGAAATTATGTTACATATATTATATATAAAATAAAAAATCTCGATTCAATGGATATATGAGCCTTTTTATGGGTTTTTGGATCCTCTGGACCGTTGGTGTTTTTTTCCTTTTTTCTAAGAACTCCATCACCATTTCTGACCAAACTCGTTTCGCTAGCTTTATTGGACCAATTAAATTTGGGGATATAGATAAATCGCCAGCATCAGCCGTAATTTTTTATGGATAGAAGACCCACAGCTCACAGAAGACAAAAGACTCTTGCAAGGAATAGAACCGTAGTATCGGCGCTTCGGAACAACAGCAACAACTCAGCCATTCGACATCCCAAGGAAAATTCGATGATATGGATATATAATATATATATATATATATCCATAAAATCAGACTGAATCCTATTCCGATTATGCAAAATTCTTTTTTTTAAGATTCCTCATCATTACTGGTTAAATTCACTTGGCTGACTGGCTGGCTGGCTTGTCGCACTGGACAAATGTGCTCCTCGGCCATAGGTGAGCCACCAACATTCAGCCGGATTTCTGGCCAGATTTACTCCTGCGGGGAATAGGTTTATTTCAGCTATACTCCAAATAAATAATCTCCAAGACAAATTATCCATAATTCAATAAAATATTCTTTTAATGCTATTTGTTTTTTTTTTATGAATTTCGATAATTTAGAAGAACCATACTTACCGATGTTTTCTTCGAAATAGATTTTTTGGTAATCTTTTTGGATCGTTTATCGACTTTATTAACATGAAGAAATGATTCAATATATGAGGAAACAACTGAAACATTAACAGAAGAATGATGATCATTGACTAATGATGGTTGAGAAATTATTGGATTCGTTTCCGATGAATGATTTATTTGATGATTTGGTGATGAACTAATAATTGGTGAAATACTGGATGAATTGGTACTCGTAGTAGTTGTTGAACTTGTCGTTGATATCGTTTCCGCGTTAGGCTTTATTAGACATTTCATATCATTATTCTCTTTAGCTAATTTTGCAATTATTGAACTAATTGTTGGCGCTATTTCAATGGAACCAATAATAGGTGATGATAATTTATTATTCATTAGCCTGGATAATGATTTATTATTCATTTTTAAATTTTTTGAATCAAATTTTTGTAAATTTTCTATCGTTTCCTTTTCGATTTTCATAGATTTTCGCCTTCTTTTTCGACGTTTTTTTAATTGAGAATTTACACGATGTATTGTCGTCGTTGTTGTCGCCGATGCTGCTGTTGTTGTTGTTGATTGTTCATTTATTGCGGCCGACTGATAATCCGTGGTGGCTCTTATCGATGAAATATGCTGATTTCGTTTACGCTCAGAATTTGCTGATAACATTGCAGCAACATTTAAATAAAATTTTTTACGTTTCGAACGACGTAATAAATCTGATTTATCCGTCATTATTGATATATTTATCAATCTATCTAAAATTTCACGTTCATTTTACGTCAGTGAAAAGAAAAAACGAGCGAAACATAAGAAATACGCGAATCACTAAATATCGTAATTGTGAAGTTCGATTATACGTGGTTATACGCGTAATTCTACGTTCACGCTTTATGAGAATAAAATATTTCACGTATATTTAAATTCGTTAAATATTCATTTGAATTCATAATATAAAATGCAATAAATTATTAAAATAACAAATAAATACAAGAAAATATATTTTGCGAAACGACCCCGATATGCATAGACTTTTATAAAAAAAAAGGTCATCCAATACATATAAACGCATAGGCGCATTTACTATTTTCTGATAATTTTATCAATAAAATTCAAACGTTATCAATAAAATTTCGTTCCTCTGACGAAATAATCTCCATCCGGAATAAAGAAAAATAAAAAAACCCAGTCCGGGAATTTCTTTCCGGAATCCGGAAATATTTCGAGAGTATTTCAAATTAAATTAAATGCTTAATGAATATGTTTTTCAAATATTTAAAAATAAAAAATAAAATGAAAAAAAAGTTTTTTGCAATATTTTTTCAAATTTAAATCAATTTTTTGAATTATGAAAATATAAACGAATTTTTAACGAATTAAACTTTTTCTTCATCGAATTTTCAATTCTAATAAGAGTTTTATAACCGTTAAAGAAAATGAGAATGAAAATAAATTTTGACCTCTGCTTAAGTTCAGTTAAAAATTATGAAAAATATAAAATACAATATAAAACGAAAAATATAAAATATAAAATTAATTTTAAAATATTAAATGTTTATAAAATAAATAAAATATTTATAAAATTAAATTTTCATTGAATATTTTTTATATAAAATATAAGTTTTATACAAAATAAATATTTTTATATAAAATAAATAAATTTCAATGAAATTTTAAATAAATATTCTTCGTAATTAATATAAAAAAATAAGCTTTTTAAAAAAATAAAATATTAGTGAATAAAAATATGAATAAAATCAGCTCAGTTTTTGCTATCTATGAACATGGTCATGCAATGACCAACCAAAGTCCATCATATCACCTTTACTAAATAATTGTACGACGGCTCATCCTTCGACCCGGAATGGGATTTTTTTTTTTCTAAGCTATTTTCCATAAAAAAAGATTTGAATTAAGATAATCGTTTTTTTCCTTTTTAATACAAAAAAAAGCTTAAAATAAATAGCTTTTCTATAAACAAATATTTGAATAGATCGACCAATCAGCTGATTTTAAACTATAAAATTATGCAATAAACCAGTTGTGACTGAAACTCTGAATGGATGATTTACTGATTTTCAACTATAAATTTACTAGAATTAATTTTAAATCGAAATTTTATCGTTTTTTAATGAATTAATGAACAAATAAGTGGAGAATGAGAAAGAAGAAGATTGGTACCAGTCACTTAATTTTATAATAATTCATTCTATATTTATCGACGAAACAACCAATTTTCAACTGGCATTCAATAATTATCGATAAAAAAAAAAAATGGATCAAGTTGAATGGTTCTTACTCAGGCCATTTTCTCCGGTACCAAAGTACTACACCTCCGGCACCTCGAGAAAAATTAAACACAATCATTTTTTAACCACAATTGACTCGGTAAAAAAAAATTTATTTCATTTTATAGCGAATTTGTGCCAAAATTTAACCAAAAATGGTGGGTGTAAACCATTAATTTAACTTGTTTCCTCTTTCCATCCTTTATTTACTCATCGAAAAATTTCATTTTCTAAATCCTAGGAATTCTGATAATATTCAACTAAGCAATTCAAATGAAGTACCATTTGAAAGGTGAGAAATAGTTTGAGTAGATTGTCGAGATTGTCGATATTGAAGAGAATCGGCTTTTCACTCTGAAATTTAGAATAAATCTGAAATTTAAAAAACCCGTGATTGCCTAGTGACTCATCCGTATTTCGATCGCCGAATGACCCCCTAGCTAGCAAAAATAATGAGCGCTAACCGCTTTCACTTTAATGCCATTTTAGATCACCTCAAGTTGGATTTAAGAAAAAGAAAAAAACTATGAAGAATCATTAAAAAATTAATCAAAAAACTGAACTGAATTAACTGATTGAAATTGGTTTTCATTGGAACAATTTTATAAATTGTTTAAATAAAAAAAAAAAAAAATTATATTTTGAGTAAAACCTGTTATATTAGTGCAACGAACAAAAAGTATCATTTTTAAATGAATGAAACTCAAAATAATAATAATAATAATTCTAATAATAATAATTTTAATAGTAATAATAATTCTAATAATAATAATTTTAATAGTAATAATAATTCTAATAATAATTTTAATAGTAATAATAATTCTAATAATAATAATTTTAATAGTAATAATAATTCTAATAATAATAATTTTAATAATAATAATAATTCTAATAATAATAATTTTAATAGTAATAATAATTCTAATACTAATAATAATATTATATGAAAACTTTGAAAAATTTTATTAAAGAATTTTTTTTTTCATTTATAAATTTAATAATAAAACTAATAAAATTAGTTGAAAAATTAGAGGAAGACGAATAGCCGACTGGATTAATGGCTCAATGTTAAAAGGAATGCGAGTGAATGTCTTCGAATACAAATAAATTTGTCAGTTAAAAAATCTCGAATGATGCTAGTGACCTACTTATACATTTAAGCCAAAGCCGAAATTAATAATCTACGAAAGCTAAACTAATCAAAAATAACCAAATGTGCTATAAACCATCTCATCTATTTAATGAATAATGCTGCAAAAATTTTTGAATTTTTCATAAATTTTCTTTTAATTATCATATCATTCGAATAATTTGAAATGATAATAATTTATAGCTGAGCAAGAAGATTTATTTTAAAGATTTTTCACATTCCGAGTCCAAATTCACTAAAATATTTTTATCATCCAAGAATAATAATAATAATAATTTCAGCAATAAAACAAAAAATTCCATTCTTTCTAGTTCCACTGAGATTTAGAACTTTAGTGAGTTGACTTTTTTTTTAAGATTCCTCACCATTATAGTTCCACTGGATTGTCACATCGAGCAATATACCAGGGAGTGAGTCCCTTTGCCGATAGAAATACAGATGAGTCGCCAGCATCACCTGGATTTTTGTACAGGTTAATCCCTATGGGGAATCGAACCTCAGCATCCGCGTTCCCAATTGAGCAACAATCCACTGAACCATTCTATCCCCTAAGTGAATTGAATTCATTATATCGTATTGCTTTTCTGCCAATATTTTATAGAATTATCAAAAAAAAAACCTAAATGACATCTCAAAATTTTAGAAAAACAATAAGAAGTACCTGTAAATCCGTAAACAATTAGATTATCTTTGTTGATTAATCTATTTTTTTCATCGTTTCTATCATAGAATTCGAGATAAACCTCGTTTTTCGCTAATGCATCTCTGACGGATAGTAGTGGCATGATCAATCAAAAATTGAACTGGATAGACGGTGAAAAAGCGAGTAGCCACTAATTTCAAGCACATCATCGCATCGTATCGTATCGGATCGGACCGGACCTGATCGAAAGCCTTCGTGAATCTTATCCATCCTATCGGATCAGAGATCGGACCTGACCGGATCGAAAGCCTTCGTGAATCTTATCCATCCTGAAATCTTATCCTAGTCGCTTGATGAGCTATTCAAATCAGAAATGATACAAGCGACTAGAACAAAATAAATCTAAATTTACCTGAAATCTAACCATAAAATTTTGGAAGAAATAATTTTTTATTAAGAAATGAAAAATAACACATATACTTTTAACAAAAGTTATCGTAAACTAGTACCTTTCATCATTTTTATGGTGAGTAATACCACCTGCTTTTTTTTCCAATTTTTTTCACCACTGTTGATTAGGCTCGGTTTCATTGGCTTATTGGACTTATCAGACGAATTTTACCAGAGACTCGACAGTAGATATATGCGAATCATAAACATATCTGGGATTTTTGAAAAACGATGGTTCATTCTTGCGGGGGAGTAGAGTTAATAGAGAATGAACGAAAATCGATCTTTTTCGAACAATATTCACTATTTCTGGTTTAATTGGTTCTATTTACTATTAGAATGAGAATCCATTGCTAGCGGATCCAAGAATCGGATCACTGATCGATATATTTATCAACTTAACAACTTAATAGTTAAATCTCCTATGAAATTTAAAATTTAATCGAATATCCTAAAGTTTTGAAAACATCATTTATAATATAAGCAAACAGATCAAATTTTTTCTTAATGATTTTTAGGCTAATTACAATTTTTTTATCAATTTATCAATTAAAAAATTAGTTATCAATTTGTAAGTAAGTAAGTAAATAAATTCATTATTCACCATGGATAGGCATTTATGGTTTCTCGAATTAGCAGAGTCGGCTTATCACAATAAGCAGAGATGATTTTGAACTATTAACCCAGTCGGTTATTCTACCATTGCTTCGTTACTTTAATAAATCTGTAAGCATCTGAAGTAAATAAATAAATAGGAAATATTTACAATTATATTCGTCCTAAATTACTTAAATTTAAATTATAAGCAAATTATAAAATGAAAATTCGAATAAATTATGAAAAATTCTCTTTCGTACGTTTAATAATTATTAAAAATATTTAAGTGTAAAAAGATCAATAGATTAGAAAATCACAACAAAATGAAAATCATATATTTCGATGTTCTCGAATTATTCGATACGTACTTTTTGAAAAGTGCACGAAAAAGAAAAAAAATGAGGTCAAAGGGCAAACGGGTGAGAAAAAATTAAGTAAATCTTCAAAAAAAAAACTTTTAAAACAAATTATAAATAATATTAGAATAACGAAGTTTATAATTTATTTATTTTCTTTTTTTTAAGAGCACTCACCATTGTTGGTTGAATTTACTTCGGTGATTTTTAAATCGGACCAAATAAATCACTTTTGACAATAAGGGTGAATGAATTGTGCTAGTACCACGTAG